GCCCCCCCCGGCCGCACGCACGCGGGGTCACACGCAGACCCCCCCCCGGCCGCACGCACGCGGGGTCACACGCAGCGCCCCCGGCCGCACGCACGCGGGGTCACACGCAGCCCCCCGGGAGTCCGGCTTCTCTCTCGGCGTCACTTCCAAGGCTCATCTGTGTGAGGGCGGCCGAGGAGTGTCCCGTCGCGCGGCTGCAGCACGTTTTGGGCTCTGCTCACCCGCTGGGACACCGGAGCCGGGTCGCTGCGGCCGCTGGGGGGGGGGGGGCGCCGCCCCTGCTGGACTCGGCGCACGCACGCCCCTGAGTCCCGCCAACCCCCGGCGTCCCAGCCTACCAGCCGAGCTAAGCCCTCACTGACGCCTTACTCGGTGACTGTTGTCAGGCGCTACGTAGACAACAGCGTCACCTGCTCGTGCGCACAGAGGGGGTCCCCCCCCCCCGCCAGGCCCGAGCGCACCTGTGACTCCCGGCCTCGCTCTGGATGGCGCCGACGGGCAACAGCGGGGGCAGGGGGCCGACCCCGGAGCCCCAGGGCCCGGCGCCACCGCACGTTTGACAGATACTCTGCCTCGGGTTTAGAAAATTCTACTGTATTCCTTATTTATGAAGATGTGCTAATCACGCACGCGGGTTGAATTTTAGCAAATATTTTTGCAGCTGTTAAGATAATACTAGGCCCCTCCCCCAATCTGTCAGCGTGAGAAATGAGTTTTAAGCCACCATGGCGTTCCCGCCGCACACCCGACCTGGTCACGCTACGTGCCGTCTCCAGGCCGCGCGGGGCGGGGCGGGGCCCGGCCGTGTTCTGTCCCCAGCGGGCGGCACCGGGCTGCTGCTCTGAGGTCGCGGACGTACCAGCCCCTGCGGGTGAGGCGGCTCTTCCCAACGTCTGAGTCCACACAGGACTAGAATGTTCTGTTTTTCGAACTCACACCGCCTGGACTTGAATTCTTTGGGGACACTCTCTGTGCAGTGGTGACAGGGTCTCTGGGCCTCGCTCTCAGGCTGGCCTCACCAACTGCTCTTTCTCCTAAAAGCCGCCTGGGCGCTGCCCTCGTCCGCTGGCTCTCCCTCCATCGTGCCCGCTGCCACTGCCCCTGCGTCTGTAACAGAGATCTGTCCCTTCTCTTCCTGGACCCTAGTGCCACAGGATGCCAGCTTTAACCGTTTTCCTTTTAAAATTTTATTTTAAAGAGAGAGAGTGTAAGCGGGGGAGGGGCAGAGAGAGAATTTCAAGCAGGCTCCATGCCCAGCATGGAGCCCAATGTAGGGCTCGATCCCACGACCCTGGGACCGGGACCTGAGCTGAAATCAAGAGTTGGACACTGAACTGACTGAGCCGACCGGGGGCCACGACAGTCCTTTTAAACAGCCAACTTTGACCTGTTTCTCTCCACAGCCTCCGTTCCCATTGGTTTTGCTGCCTTCTGCTGTTCCTTCCTTCCTTCTGCTCCGCTTCGCTTCTGCTGTTGTTCTTACGAAGCCGGAGCTCACCTGCTGGGGTCCCGGCACTTAGGGCCCCCCCATCCCCACCCATTTGGCTGCAGTGGTTCCCAGGGGTCCTGGGGTCCAGGAGGGTAGAGTACTTTATACCTTTCCTTGTGTATTTTTTTCTTTGAGTCAGGTTATTGAGAAGGCTCTTTCCCTAGGATAGGAGTTTCACTTGAATAACAACGGAAAAACCATCAAGGCAGAGGTTAACCTGTGAGGCCTGGTGGTGGCCGGTGGTGACGGTGTGGCGGTGGCCCATCAGCCTTGCCAGAGCGCCAGGGGGCAAAAGAGGCCACTAACAGATTTGAGTTTGATTTTGTGATTTTTCTCATGACTGTAAAGTGTATTTGGAAAACATTTCCAAATCTAATTTTAAGTGTTTTTCTGTTGCCGTTCTCCAGGCTGACACTGTGAATTCACCCACGGTCCTAGCGGGCGGAGCGACGAGGGCCGGTGGCACGGGTACCACTCACACAGACGTCCACCTCGCTGAGAACACAGCCATGTGACAAGAAGCTCTACGCCCAATGTGGGGCTGGACTTAGGACCCTGAGATAAAGGGTCGCTCGGAGCCAGCCAGGCATGAAGGGCTGACGTTCTCACAGCAGATAGGGGGCGCCAGCAGTGCACTCGAGATGTCCCGTGTTAACTCACAGAATCTGATGAAGCACCACTGGCATCCCCATGTTGCCCCTGAGGAACGGAGGCAACACGAGGGGCTTAAGTGATGTGCCCAAGGTCCCCTATCTCCACGGCACTGGCTCAAGTCGGTGGCCCCTGGCCCGAGAGCTGGTGCTCCTTACCACTCACTTCCTCTCCAGAGACTCAGGGTGTGTTTCTGTCTGGAGACCCACCTGCCCGCTGCCGGAGCGGCCAGGGCTGCGGGGGTGCCCACCCAGCCCAGCCTGGAGGAGGCGATTTGCCAGAACGATCTCCGCCTGTCATTCCGCTTCTGAGGATCTGTCCTGCTGGCCCTAAGTGCAGAGAAGGTATTTATCTCAGCATGATTTACAACGCCCCAAACTACACAGCCGTGCACCCTCCTTAGGAAACCGTTAACCCTTCTGTTCCATGCGCCATTAGGCAGCTGTACAAATAACGTGTAACAGTGCCTGCTGGCCTTCAGGATAGCACAGAACGGGTGACTTCTGTCTGTGACATAGGATATATATCACCTAACATTACGTGACATAATAACACACACGTTCTGGCATGTCATAATACCGCAGTGAATAAAAACCAAACTAAACTGAAGCGGGCTCAGATGCCCTTGGACGTGTGCTGCCGTGGCCGACATCTGAGTGTCCACACCCCACCCCCAGCCCCCCGGGGTTTCTTTCCACCCCCTGCGCCCCGCCCCCCTTGACAGAAAACATCTGCTGGCCTTGCTCTGGGTTCGGGAAAGACCGACACTCAAGCGATTTGCTTCCTCGCTCTCAGCACATACGCGGGTCTTATTTCTGTTTTGTTTTTCTGCTGAACTTGAGATTAAACTGAAGGCATCATGACCCTGTGCCCCCGAAAACCTTAGCACGTATCTTCACGACAAGGACGACGTCTGGGATGGGCCACAGGCCGCGCCGACACAGGCGATTGTGAAACTGCTGCAGCACCGCGCCCAGCAGACAGCGTGGACGCAGGTCTAACCAATGTCCTTTACAGCTGCCCTTCCAGCCGGGCTCACACGCCGTGTCTCCCCGCTAGGTCCTGCCACACCGGGGCGAGCTGGGTCCGGTGGGGGGGAGGCTGCTGCGCGGGGGGGGGGGGGGGGGCAGGGGGGAGGGCTCAGCCCGGCAGGGGTGCCTATAACATCACAGCTTTCACATCACATCACAAAGAACGGGAGCAAACATCTCACCTGCAGAAACGTTTCCCCCGGGAGCGCCTGCCCTCTGGCGTCTGGGAGCGCCTGATCGCGACACACGTCTCCATTCTAATTCAGGACCTTCTTTCAGGACGGAATCCCCGTTTCTGGGGTCCAGATAGCTGAAAGCGGAGGCATCAACATTTTCCTAGTAAAAAGCCGTATTCGCTCATGGTCGCCAGTCACTTCCCCCCCTTATACTGTCGGGAATTCTGGGACACCCACAGCCCGCTCTGCAGAGCACAGAGCTCCACCCAGCTGGGGGGAAACTAAGGGCGCGCGCAGCACATGGACTTGGCCGGGGGACACGCTGGAAGTTGGGGGGCAGGGCAGGCGCGAGGAAGTGAAACTAACCTGGAGAGCCTATCGGCAGGGAAGAGCCCCGGGCCAGATGCAGGCGGGCTCAAAGCTGCCCTCACACTCTCGGCCCCCCACCACGTGTCCAGCAGGACTCTCCCGCGGTGGCAGCGCTTATGTCCCCAGTGGCCCACCTGGGTGAGTCGGGGCACTCACCTGCGACGGGGACTGGGCCAGGGGGTCCAGTTCCTGGGGATGCGGTGAAGGGGAAGGGGGGACGGAGTTATAGGACTGGTGCTCCAGCCCGAGGAGGGAAGCCAGACACAAACCATAGGACTGTCCCACGGCCAGCCGAGTGGGGACAGCAGGGGTCTGTGCAACGCCGTGGGGACCTGAGTGCAGAGCGCCGCCGTCCAGGCCACCTGCCAGGCTGCGTGGGGGTGGGCTCAGGTCCCAGCAGGCCAGCGGTCTGCGGACTGAGGTCTTCAGAGGCGCAGGTGAGCAGGCAGGGAGGCCGCCGGGGCCGGGGCTAAAGCTCCAGTGGCCCCTCCCACCCCCCAGACACCGTGACAGGCTCAGGCTCACCGCCTCCCCCGTCACCGCGGCGACTTGGCCTGGAGACGCTCCGGACCGGAGGGGTCCGCACCACACCCTGTACTGAACTGGGGGACAGGCCCCTGGCAGTGGACACCCACAGCCAGAGGCGCTCGGAGCGCGGCGCCCGCGGCCCGGCCTCCATCCGACGCGGGACGCCGTCCTCTTGGCAGACGGCGTCCCCTTCTCAGTGCCTCTTCCGCGGGTGGCGCTTCCGGTGGCGAATGAGACACGAGCTGTAGGCGAAGGCTTTCCCACACTCCTTGCATTCGTACGGCTTCTCTCCGGTGTGCGTCTTCCGATGTTTTAGGAGGTTCGAACCGCAGTTAAAGGCCTTCCCGCATTCACCGCATTTAAAGGGCTTCTCGCCCGTGTGGATTCGCTGGTGTTTGGTGACGTCGGAGCTGTGCCTGAACGGCTTCCCGCACCGATCACATTTGAAGGGCTTCTCCCCGGTGTGAACGCGCTGGTGGCGAAGGTGGTCTGTCTTGTGCTTAAAGACGCGGCCACACTCGCTGCACTCATAGGGCTTCCTTCTCTGAAAAGGAATGAACACGGGCACCCCCTCGAAGTCATCTTTAAACGAAGCATCGAAGGCATCAAATAGATGTTCCTCATCCTCCGGGCTCAGGCTGGGTTCCGTGCTGTGCTTTTTTGCCACAGTGAGCCTCTTGCCAGCCTTTTTCTCCCCAGATGCCGCTCTCTCCCCTTTGGGCGTGTCCTTCAGCAAATCCACTTCCTCCTTTGGGGTCTCTGCCTTCTTTTTGCCCAGGGGCTTTTCCATCCTCCTTTGTGCCCAGGAGGAAGGGCTAAGGAGAAAGGCCAGGGGCCGGATTCTCCACCTCTTCAGCAAACTCGTTCTTTATACACAGCTCTTCATCTGTCCAAGCCTGGAGTGAAGGCTCTGGAAGGTCTGCACCCGAGAGCCCCCGCCGGTCCCCGTGCTGCGGGAGAAGCCACACCGGGAAGGTTAGACGGCTCCAGCGTCATGGAAGAACACAGCTGGGGGGGCTCGCGGCGCAGAATCACTAAAGGACAGATCGGGGTGAGGGGGCGCCGGGGAACTCGGCCCCTCCCCTTCCCTGCCTGTGTTTGTTCCCCTTGGACATCTCCTGAGCCTCTCACACTGAACATGACCAAACAGGACACTCGCTCTAACCCTCTCCCTGGGCCGGGGTCTCGAGGCCTGTGTCCGGTAGCATGACGTGTACCACGGACCAACAATCCCATGTGGTCCCCAAACTGGGGCTTTCCCCACCATGTGCTCCTTCTGTCTCCACTTCCTGCATTTGGGACCAGACAACGGGCTTTTGGAGCTGGAGGCTGAGGAGCGGCACGTGCCTGTCACCTAGAGCCTGCGGTCTGAGATGGATCAGACTTGGGGCTGGCTCCCAGTGCCCTCCCCCCTGCCCCTGGCCCTCCCCCCGCAGAGCAGCCAGTGAACCCCCCTACCCCCAGTCCCCAGTGGCTTCCCTCGTACTTACAAGCCCTATACGTGCCTGACCTGGCCCATCCCTCGGCCCTCTCCTCACTCCCGTCCTGACCTCCAGCTTTCTTCAGGCTCCTCAACCCTGCCCAGTGCCTCCTGCCTCAGTGTCTGGCAGATTCCAGAAACAGACCAGGCGCAGGTTTCCGCGGGGCTGGCCCCTCACTTCATTCGGAGCTCTGCTCCAAGGGCCCTCTCTAGAGAGGCCTCCTGGACTCAGTCACTGCTCCCCACTCCCCTGCCCTAACCTGGCCCTGGACTCTCTTTAGCACTTCACCGGGGCTAACTCCTCCAAGAACCAAAGCCCGGGCAACCATCAACTTGATCTTGCTCACAGCGTCACTGTCTGCAATGGCTGATGTACCCTACCCCGTCCCTAACTCCCTGGAACAGCACCCCAACCTCACCACGAATTCAAACAGGACCCACACAGCCCAGGTGTTCACAGAAGCAGCCCCCGCACGCCTCGTCTTTTGTTTGCTGAGATCCCTCTTCTGTATCATCCCTCAGCTTCCCGGACCTGCCTCTTCTCTCAGCGCTAACTGATGGGATTCCAGCAAAAAGCCTGGACAGACTTCAGCCTTTTAGCTGCTGGTGAAAGATACCCCACAAGATTAAGAATCCCTCCCCCCCCTCCTTTTTTTTTTTTTTTAAAAAAGCTCTGAACGTAGGTCTCGTTCTGATTCTCCAACATTCCTTGCAGACAGTCTTCTTAGCAAAGGTCTCTCATGGCCTGGGCCGGCTACCCCCACCTGCTAGGAGGCCAATAACCCAGACAGGCTGTCTCACCCCCGAATGGGACGCCCTACGTGATAATGCTCCAAGTGATGTGTTTTTCTTTGAAACTTCTTTTCCATCTTCCACTTTCTTACCATCAACCTTTCAGTCTGTGTGTCTATCCAACTCTGTGCATGAAAACACAGTAGGTTTTTTTTTTTAATGTTTTATTTATTTTTGAGACAGAGAGAGACAGAGCATGAACAGGGATGGGGCAGAGAGAGAGGGGGACACCGAATCCGAAGCAGGTCAGCTCAGAGCCCGACGTGGGGCTTGAACCCATGAACCGTGAGATCACGAACTGAGCCGAAGTCAGACGCTCAACCAACTGAGCCCCCCAGGCGCCCTGTAGGTTTCTTTTTTTTAAGTAAGCTCCATGCCCAACGTGGGGCTTGAACTCAAGACCCAAGATGCTCTACTGACTAAGCCAGCCAGGCATCCCCAAGTGATGTGTGTTTTAAGGGACACGTAGTTCGAGCTCTCTCTAAGGTTCTCCTCTTCTCCCCCACGCAGAAGCAACGCAGAGGTGACTGTAGAAATTTCCCGTCCTTACAAGGAGTTTGAGAATCTAGTTTCTTATAAATAAAAACGTTTAGGGGCACCTGGGCGGCTCGGTTGGTTGAGTGTCCGACCTTGGCTCAGGTCATGATCTCGCGGTTCATGAGTTGGAGCCCTGCTTCCGGCTGGCTGCTGTCGGCGTAGAACCTGCTTCAGAATGTCTGTCTCCCTCTCTTTCTGCCCCTCCCCAGCTCGTGCTCTCTCTCTCTCAAAAATAAATAAACTTAAAGAAAAAAAAAAAAGACCCTAAGAATTAACAATAAAAAACAATGTTTAGGTACACTTGATTTGGATTCAGGCCTTTGAGGCCCCCAAGGCTTTACTGGAGGCAGCTCCTGGGAGGCTGTTCTGAGCATCAGGTGGGGGCCTGAACCGAAGGTAAGGGCAGTCCTCTGGGCAGAGGGGGGCATGCAGAAACAAGGGGGGCCCCTGCTGGAGAGGCAGGTGGACCGAGGGCAGAGGATCGCACCAGGCAAGGAGGATGGATTCTAGTTTCAGTGGGAAACGGAAGAAAACCAAGAACCAACATGAAGGACGCGCCCAGCGGAGCACCTGCGGGCCGGTGAGGGGAGGGTCCTCTGCGCTCGTCTCCTGCCAGGACTGCCACCGAGGCAGCAGCTGCCCTGAGATGTGGCTTCTTGAGGGCAAGGCCATGGCTTTTTCTGGTTACCAACTAGGCCGGAGCCTGCGCCTACTGGTGCTCGGGAAACATTCGAGATAATCGTCTGCTCTGCCAGAGTCGAGATGGCAGGGGCTTAATGGCAGAGACCGCATTTACCCACTTCCCCAAGTGCACAGCACACCAGGTTATTAAATAGTGAAAAGCGGAGCCGACCTGAGGTCCTGGCCCCTCACTGCACAGGCAGGTGGACACCGGTGACCGCGGCAGCCACACAGAGACCTCAGTCTTCCCGGACCCGAGCAGGAGTGCCTGGCCCAAGGGCTGGTGCCCGCCGCGCAGCTTTGGGGCAGCTCTTTCACCCTATGGACGAGGCCCCCGGAGCCACGGAGCGCTGGGTAGCGCCGCAGCAGCCAGGGCCCCCGGAAACCCCGCTCACCCTGGCCCCGAACCCCCCCACCGCGCCCCGCCTTCAGAAGCCTCGGTCTCGGGGAGTCACCAGCGGGTTTGGGATCCAAGGGCAAACATGCACCCCAACATTCCGTTAGGCCCCCCGCGGGCCGGCAGCCACGAGCCGTGCCAAGGCAGGGGAAAGGGGCCCCCAGGGTCAGCGCGACACACCCCCGCCAGTGACAGGGCCTGTCCAGTCAAGTGTGCAGCGCCCTGGGGCGCCGCCTTCACCTCGATCCGCACGGAGCTGGTCCTCGCCCTCCTCCCCGCGGCGCCTGGGAGCCGAGGGACCCGGGGGTCCGGGGCTGGAGGGCGGGGCGAGCGCGCCCGCCGCAGGGGCCCGGGAACGCCGTCCCCCGCGCCGGGCCCCGCCGCCCGCCGGTCTTCCCGCGCCGGCTGGCAGGAGAGCACCCGGCCCGCAGCCGGCCTCGGCGCCGACCGGAAGAGCCCGCCCCTTCCGGCGCCGCTCTAGGAGGACGCCCCACCCCCCGAGCCTCTCAGTGGTTCTCCGCGACGGCCCCGCCCCCCAGCTCCTGGTGCCCTCCGCGCCCGCCCTCGTCTCTGCGTCCCCCCTCACCCCTGCGGCCCCTCCCTCTCTCCGTCCTCCCTCCCCTCGCCCCCGCCCCTCCCTCCCTCACCTGCGCCCCCTCCCTCACTCCAGCCTCCCTTCCTTCATCCTCTGCCTCATCCCTATGCCCTCCTCTCTCCTTGCCCCCTCACACCTGCGCCCCCTCCCTCACCCCCTCCCTCTCTCCTGCGGCCTTTCCCTCACCCCGTCCTCCCCTCCCTCACCCCTGTGACCCTTCCCTCGCCCCTGCCACCATCCTCACCCCTGCAGTTCCTCCCTCACTCCCTCCTCCCTTCCCTTGCCCCTGTCCCCCTCATCCCTGCGCCCCCTCCCTCACCTCTATCTCCCTTCCTTCACCCATCCCTCATCCCTATGCCCTCCCTCACCCCTTGCCCCCTCCCTCGTCCTGCACCCCCTTCCTCACCTCATCCTCTTCTCCTTCACCCCTGAGCTTCCTCCCTCACCCCTGTGCCCTCCCTTCCCCCCTCACGCCTGTGCCTCTTCCGTCACCCCTGTCCCCTCACTCACCCCTCTCCAGCCACCTGACTGTGCTCTTCACACACAGCAGGTGCACTTGGCCTGTGTTCACTTGCACCGGCAGCGCTCCCCCTGCCCGGATGCTCACCCCCAGCTATCTGCTTGGCTCACTCCCACCTCCTGCTCAGCTCCCCCTGGGAGCCCCGACTGCTCTGTGTATTAGTTCCCTGGTTCCCACAAATTTAGCTGCTTAAAACACTTGTGTGTTCCCTTACTTCCTTGGGACAGGTGTCCAGACGTCCCGGCTTGGCTTAGCTGGTCCCCTGCTTGGTCTTGCCAGGCTGTGGTCATGGTGTCGGTGGCTGCGTTCTCAGCTGGAGGCTCATCCATGGACGGATCCATTTCCACACTCCCGTGTTGTTGGCAGGATTCATTTCCTGGTGGCTGTGCCACCGAGGGCCTGCTTCCTACTGGCTGTTGGCTAGGGGCTGACCTTAGGTCCTGGTGGCCACCCACCATTCCCTGCCATGTGGCCCCCTCCATGGCCAGTTCCCAACATGGCTGTTTGCTCCTTCAGGGCCAGTGGGATAGCCCCTCTTCCCAGGCTGCTCTGATGGAGTGTCACAGAACATAGCCTAACCGTGGGGGTCACCTCTTGTGGCCTCCCTCATATGTGGCTTCCAGAGGCATGACCTCCTGTCACCATCACATGTGACCTAACCATAGGACTGACATCCGGTCTGTCACCTCTGCCAGAGTCTGTGGTTTCGAAGCAAGTCCCAGGTGCCGCCAGTGCTTGGGGGGGTGGGTGGGAAGCAGAGTCCATGACACCACAGTTGGTCTCTTCTCCCACCCCTGACTCCCCCGCCCTGTCCTGCATTTTTTCACAGCACACTCCACTCTCTAACACACTATGTAATCTCCTTGTCAGTGTGTTTATCGCATACAGGCCCACGTAGCAGAGCGGGTTGGGTTCCCGACCACAGCGGTAAGGCAACGAAGAACGAAGTGAGTCAAATGATTTTCTGTGCTTCCCAGTTATGTTTATGCAATACTGTCAGTTATTAAGCGTGCAATGGCACTGTGTTTAAAAAACAACGTAGGTGGCCTGGGGCACCCGGGTGGCTTAGTCGGTTAAGCGTCCGACTTTCGCTCAAGTCATGATCTCGCGGTTCGTGGGTTCGAGCCCCGCGTCGGGCTCTGTGCTGACTGCCAGCTCAGAGCCTGGAGCCTGTTTCAGTCTGTGACTCCCTCTCTCTCTGACCCTCCCCTGCTCACGCTGTCTCTCTCTCTCCTAGAAATAAATAAAACATAAAAAAAAAAAACAACGTAGGTACCTTCATTACAAAAATACTCTCTCGCTAAAGACCGCTGGCCGTCACCTGAGCTTTCAGCCAGCGCGTCCCTCGGCCGGCGGAGGGTCTGCCCCGGTGCTGCCGGCCGCCGGCTGGTCCTGTGGCGGCTGCTGAAGCCCGGGCGTCGGTGGCAAGTTCTCAAACGAGACGACAGTGTGCAGTTGGTTACAGCAGCGGACCCGTCCTTTCACGAACGATTTCTCTGGAGCGTGTGATGCTGTTTGATAGTATTTTACTCTGGGCCACAGTAGAATGGTCTGTTAGTATCACCTTAGCATCCTTAAGAAAGTTGTTTTTCAGGCACCACGCAAGAGCGCGTGAGGCAATGCCAAGGGGGCAGAGCCCCGTGACGCACAACTGTAGTGGCATCCGGTGACCTGTGGTCAGTCCGCTCTAGGTGGCACCAGGACTGGCCCCTGGGTGCAGTGCTGCTCAGCCTGAGCCGTTCATCTCAAACACCCAAGGAGCTTAGGGATTTCTGCCTGGACCCCACTCCCAGGGGTTCAACTGACAGGGGGGCGGGGAAGTGGACACACAACACTGGCATTTAAAAATTTTTTTTTTAATTTTTTTATAGTTTATTTATTTTTGAGACAGAGAGAGACAGAGCATGAGTGGGGGAGGGGCAGAAAGAGAGAGAGACACAGCATCCGAAACAGGCTCCAGGCTCTGAGCTGTCAGCACAGAGCCCGATGCGGGACTCGAACCCACAAACTGGGAGATCATGACCTGAGCCAAAGTCAGATGCTCAACCGACCGAGGCACCCAGGTTCTCCTAACGCTGGTATGTTACAAATGTCCCTGGTGATTCCACCGGGCAGCCAGGGCCCAGAGCCACGCTGCCGCGGAGCACGGGTGTGGCGATGCTCACAGGCGCTCGGTGAAGCCTTGGACACGGAGCGAGGCGGAGACATGACTCCGGCCATTGGATTAGTAAGGTTCCAAGAAACACGGATTCCTCACCTGTGGGCACGTTCCTCAGTTACGGGTCACACAAATTTACCTACAAAACTCACATCTGACCCCCGGAGCCTACAGTTTATGACAAGGTGGGTGGTAAGTACGCTCATTCTCCGATGACGTGATCTTCCCCACATTCACCTGCGAGCAGGTTTACCGGGAGGCAAATTCCTAGGGTGGTGCGTGGGCGGCAACAGGCCAGGGCAGCCCGACCCCCAGGTGACATCCCCCGCGTCCCCCGCGGTGGAAATTCACTGTCACGCCCACCCTGGGCCAAGAGGCCGCCGTCTGTCCACATGGCTCCTTCTTCCAAGCTTCCTTCACTCAAGCCCGCGCGGGGCCCTGTGACTTTCCCTCGCATGAGCCGTGACTCGGTGAGGACGGCGAGCCGTCTGGAAGGGAAGGGCCCCCTGCGGCTGGTGCGTTTGAGGCTCTGCGATGTCCTTAGGTCAGGGTTTCTGGGGTTGGGTCTCTCCAGCCTGCGTCCTCTGAGGCGGGATGAGAGCTGGGTCGCGGCCCAGACGCCGCCACAGTCACTGCTTATCTCGGGCTCCTTTTGGGAGGAGGAAGCACGAGTGAGGTTTTCCTGTTTCTCCATCGCTGCCCCCCTCCCCGCGTCTCTAAGGGCCTGTGGCTGGGTGCCGGCCCCCCCCACCCCTGCCAGCAGCCCCAGCTCAGAGCCCAGGCCGCGCGTCCCTCAGGCCGGGTGCGCCTCCATGCAGGGGCCCTCCTGGGAGGCTGGGGGGCGACAGAACCACGTGGGACCCTCAGCAGCCGGCGGGTGGGAGTTCCGGATGAGCCTGGGGTCCACTGGCTTCTGCAAACGTGGAGGTCGCCAGAGGGCCAGGATTCAGCGACCTCCATCCTCAGGAAAGTCCTGCTTTGGGGTCAATGCCTCATCCTCACAGGGAGAACAAGGGCCGGAAACGCACTGCGGCCACCTGCTTCCTGCGTGGGGAGAGAGGAAGTCCCGAGACCATCTTAGGACTCAGTCCTGGGGTGGGGTGGGGTGAGTGGACAATGGCGGGCCACCAAGGGGCGGGGGGGGCAGGAGAGGGGAGGAGCCCAGGGTCCTGCGGAGGATGGAGGCTGCAGGGGAGAGGTGTCCGGGGAGGACCTGCGCGTGCCCCCCCCTCGTCCCAGGCGGCAGGTCCTGTGCGCCCAGAGGAGAAGGGGGCGCAGCCTTCTTCCTGCGCTTGCTCCCAGGTCGGGACTGGATGGGGCACCCAGAGCCCTGAGGCGCCCCGAGCTGGTTTCAAGGTGGGGGAGGTGAGGCAGCTTGGGTAGGGTCCCTCGGCCCAATGGGCTTGTTTGTCGTCCCCATTTTAGGGGCCACTCGTGGGGCAACAGAAGGGACCAGGGTGAGTGGGCGGGCTCAGTGCTGGGAGGGGAGAGAAGGGATGCCTCCCCAGGCAACCGGGGGGGGCGCGGGGAGCACCCCCGGGAACAGCTCCGGGGGTGGGAGCAGGCATCCCGGTCAGCCCTGGCACTGGCGCTGGGGCAGGGCCCCTCCCTAAGGAGAGAGAAAGAGGAGAGAAGACTTCACGGTCACCTAGATACGCGCCCAGGTGCCTACATCCCCCGTGGCCTTGTAAACCGGACCATTTAATCAGACTGCACGTTTAGGGAGACAAAGAAATAGAAAACGTATTTAAAAACTATGCCGCGTGAGGCGGCCGCTCAGTTCTCCGGGCAGGAGCCCAACTGATCCTTGGAGAGGGGTGGTTTTTCTCCAGTTTTGGGGCAGTAGGGCTGAGCACAGAGAGGCTACATAGGTGGCCAGGGTCACACAGCCTGGAAGCGGCCGGCAGGTCACCCCAGTCGCTGCTCGGGCTCTTCTGTCGTCTTAGCAGCTCCCATGTCACACTGACAAAGGCCAGGAGGCCTCGGCAACACCCACGCTGGAGGGCAGAGCCTTTACCCAGGGCCACCAGGCTCCAGAAGTTTCCAGCATTAGGCTCTTGAGGAGCACCCTCTGGGGGTCGCAGTACCCCCACATGCCCTGGGATGTGGGGAAGGCTCTGGAAGTTCACTCAAGTCTGACCAAGGCCCAGAGGCTGGTCCACC